GCTACTTTTAGTTTCTAGCCAAGATTTTTTCGTTTTAGCTCTTAGCCAGTAATCTACTTTTAGCTACTATTTTGATACATTAAATTGATAATTTTAGCATTTTGCTAACATTTTCTACTTAGTTCAGGTTAGTTTTAGCTACTTTTTTGCTACCACAGCTAACATTTTCTTACTTTAAATTCCAGCTAGTGTTTTGCTATTAAGATGCTTAAGCTCATGTTTTGTTACTTTTAGCTTTTACTTCCATTTATTTCTAAAATCTTGGAGAAAATAGTTTTTAGTCAACTAACCAAGTTTTTGAATGTAAATGGAATTTTTGAGATTTTTCAGTCAGGATTTAAACAACTGCACAGCACCGAGACAGCTTTAGTAAGGGTCTGTAATGACATTCTGCTAGCAAATGACTCTGGTCAGTCTGTGATCCTGGTACTCCTCGACCTTACCGCTGCACTCGACACTGTTGATCACAGCATCCTTATGTCACGGCTAGAACACTGGGCTGGGATTACAGGGGTGGTGCTAGAATGGTTCCGTTCTTATCTGGGTGACAGGAGTTTTTGTGTTAACTTTGGCAATCATTTATCTGCTTCTGTCCCTCTTTCCTGTGGGGTCCCACAAGGCTCCATTCTTGGACCCCTTCTGTTCTCATTGTATCTGCTCCCCTTGGGGTCAATCCTGAGGAAACATGGTATTTCGTTTCACTGTTATGCCGATGACTCTCAGATCTATCTACCTTTAAAACCAAACAGTTCTTGCTCCATCCTCCCTTTGCTAAAATGTCTTGATGATATCAAGACTTGGATGGCTGCGAACTTCTTGAGTTTTAATGATCAGAAGACTGAGGTCATTGTGTTTAACCCAAGCTCTACCACTGTCACTGATCCTGTAAACCTGCACTCCCTTCAGCCTCATCTAAAGCAGTCAGTTACCAATCTCGGGGTAGTGTTAGTCTCGGACTTTAAGTTTAATAAACAGATCAACTCTGTTCTACAAAAGAGCTTCTTTCAGCTAAGGCAGATAGCAAAGCTAAAGTCCGTTCTGTCCAGATCCGACCTTGAAAAACTAGTCCATGCATTTATTACAACCCGGCTGGACTACTGTAACTCACTTTATGTTGGGGTCAGTCAGGCTTCATTTTCACGTCTCCAGCTCGTACAAAATGCTGCAGCTCGGCTTTTTAACAGGAACTCACAGGTTTGAGCACATTACTCCGGTTCTGTCCTCTCTTCACTGGCTTCCTGTACGTGTCAGAGTTGATTTTAAGATTCTTCTGCTGACATTCAAGTGCATTAACGGCCTTGCACCATCATACCTCTCTGACCTTCTTCATCCTTATACTCCTTCTCGGGCTTTGAGATCATCAGACCAGCTGCTTTTGGCCGTACCAAAAACCAGCTGAAGCTCAGAGGAGATCGAGCGTTTTCAGTCGTGGGCCTTAAACTCTGGAACAATCTGCCCATCAACATTCGACAGGCCACCTCAGTCTCTGCTTTTAAATCTCTCCTGAAAACACATCTGTACTCACTGACACATCTGTACTAACTGACACATCTGTA